ACCGAATTGCAATTGAAAAAAGGTAAAAATGGAGTAAGAAGTAATAAAAAAGGGAGCCGAAAGCCGGAAAAGCGGTTTTTGGTGTTTAAAAGCAATTTGAAAACCGTTAAAAATCAGGGGAAAGTGTAAATCCGAAAAACCAAGTGGAACTGGAAAACATAAAACATTTTTTTCAACCAAAAAACGAATTTTAAAAAAATTCCGAAAATCGGAGAATATAAATCCGAAGAACCTAGTGGAACTGGAAAATATAAAACATTTTTTTAATGAAAAACTACAATCCTAACCAACTAGCCGAAAATCGTGGAGAGAGTGGAATAGATAAAAATCTAATGGAAATGGAGAATACCACACTTTGTTCGCGTTTTTAAAGCATTTTAAGTGCCGGCGCAGCTTGCTACTTATCAAAAAACGTTAATTAACCCAAAAATACGCTTTAAAAGGGCAAGAATTCCAGGAAAAGCCTGCCGCCGACCAAGCCGCCCAAGCCAGCCCGACGCGACAGTACGGTCTCGACCCTCCCAATCAAGAGAGACGACCCTGGTCCCGCCCTTTCCGGGCCTAAAAATGTACCAAAAATCCGATTAAAATGTCGAAAAATACGCCGAAAAACGTGAAACCCGTCTAAAAATGTTTCTATAGTGTTTTGTCCTTTGTCCGTGCTTTTCTCCCAGTAAATCCGGCCGCTAAAAAGGCAAAAATTACGTTTTTTTGTACTTTTTTCCGATTTTTCAGTTTTGCTAAAAGCTTTCTTTTGCCCCTGCCGCTCTACCCAAAAGCTTTTAAAAAGTTTCGTTCTCTCTTTTCTCTTCTTTAGTCTCTCAATTGAGGGGTTTCGCGGTTTCTCTCGCTTTTTTACCTATTTTAAAACTTTTTTTACTAGTTTTCAATGTTGAAAGGCACTTTTCCGGGCTCAGGGTCGCCGCCGGCAGCTTTCATTCCTTTTTCTTTCATTCCTATTTTTCTAAAATCATTTTTCTGATTTTTTTCATGCACTTTCCCGGGCTTTCATCTTTCAAAGACCCATTTTTCAGCAGTCCAACGAGACGTTCTTCAGCCGCCGGCCCCAACGACGACTTCAGCACGTCTTCGGCAGCAGAATGGCGGTTAGTGATTTGATTTTTACTTCGCCGCCCCCGTTTTTATTTAGTGTGGCGACGACAACGCCGACGGCGATGATGATGTGACGATGCTGACGGCTGATGTGGCGGTACGAGAGGAGGGCACGACGCGCACGACGACGCGATCGAGGGAAAGCTCGCGAAGTATAGGTAATAAAATGACTTTTATTTGGGGTTTCCTGTTTTAACAATGTCGCACGCGCAAAATTCAGGGATAATATACTTTTTATTTGGGGTTTCTGGGTTTTAAAAGTTTAAAAATTGGATAATTGTTAACAGTAGGGTCATTTTTAGCCATCACTGTCAGTAGTTGTAGTGCGTAATGACCGTAGCGGGATACCGTAGCGACGCGAAAGCGCATTAATGGCAACACTCGAAAAACGGGGGCAATAATACATTTTTAAGCGATAAATTGCTATAAAACAGCCACTTTAGATCGCGAAATCCGAAACGCGCGAAAAAAAAGACGAACTCTGGGGGTTTGATAGGCGCTCGAACGGTTTTATCGGTAGCGTCATGAGGTGTAACGCGTAGTGGACGTACGCTAGCGGCGAGAGGGCGCGCATTAATGATAGCCGGCCAGTCGGCTGCCTGCGTAGGCTACGGGAGAATACAAAATACGCCTGGAAATGGGGGCATTTTTGGTACGGTAGCCCCTATCTGTTGCCTATTTTAATATCTGCATTTCAGGAAGAAGCAGCAGGACGAGTTCGGCAAGGGCGACGATGGCGGCAGCGACAGCAAGGCGAAATGAGGAGTTGTGGCGGTTAGTCGTGACCATAAGGCTCTTCCCCGGACTAAATTTAGATATATCGAGACGGGATGACTCTGATGAGGAGGTGGAGAAGCTGCAGAAGAAGCGATCGAGCAGATGAAGCCGTGAAGAAGAAGAAGAAGCCGAGAAGCGAGCAGATGAAGCTGAGAAGTTGAAGCCGTGCTGAAGAAGCAGAAGAAGCAGAAGTCGAACATCTGGAATTGTAGGATCTAATATTCTTTTGAAGGGACCGGGCAGTCAGGTATCGATCGAAGGACGGTGTCGAGAAAACGTTTAAAAAATCCCGAAAAATTATGAAATTTTCGCGAAAAAATTATGAAATTTGAAAATATTGAGCAAGAAATTTTTTTGGGCTTTTTATGATTCTTCGAACACACTTTTTAAAAAATTCAAAATTCCGCGCGGACGAGAGCCATTAATTTGAAGCTTTGAATTTTGCCCCCAGAAGAGTGAGAAAATCAGTTTGGCGCTTTTTGGGATTTTTTGAAACAATTTTTTTGTAGACGCGAAAATCAGCGGGTAGTTTAAAAATGAACTAAAAGTCTTTAAATTTTAAACTAAATCTTAAATTTAATTTAATAGGGAATTAAATCAGCTCTTAAGTTAAATTAATTACTTTCTTAATTAAATTTACTTCTTTAAATTTTAAATAAACGTTCTGCATTTAGTTGAAAACATTTAATTTTGCCCAAAAAATTGGGAAAATCAAATTTTTGCTGTTTTTTATAAGTTTTTGAAACACAATTTTTTTAACTGTCAATTTTCAGGACGATGCGCGTTGGGCTGTGGGGTCGACAAGAAGAAGACAAGAAGCCGGAAAGCGGAAGGAGTTGCGAGATGGAAATTGAGCGGTTAGTCGTTGCTCTTGCTTTGATTCCCCGAAAGACTTTAGGTAGGACCAGCGGCCGATCAGGCGACGAAGCCGACGGAGCCAACGAAGCCGACGTAGCCGTTCAAGCCGTCCAAGCCGACGAAGCCGTCGCTGAAGCATCAGGCAAAAGACAAAGCGAGAAGCGAGGCGAATCAATTTTATTTTAAAGGGCCCGGGAAGTCAGGTGGATGAAGTCGCAGCCCTCGAAACAAATTGAAATTTATTTTACCCGAAACACCGATTTTTCGCCGAAATTTTTGAAAAGCCAATTTTGCGCACTTTTTAATAGGTGATGAAACATTTTTTTGAAAGGCGATTTTTGAAAAAATTTAAAAATGAAATTTTTTTGGCTGGATATTATTTTCGCGATTTTGATACATATATGAAACATTTTTTTCAAGCAAAAATTTAAAATGTGGTTTTAAAGGGCGGTTGAAGTGTGGAAAGGGGGGAAACGGACCACACTAATAGCACAATTTCAGGTGTCGCGGCGAGAGAAAGGGGACGAGAGAGCCGGGAAGAGCGAGGGAGAAGGACAGACGACGCACACCGTGGCCCCGACCAGCTGAACGGCTTGGTGACGTCGTTCTTCTACTGATTGGAGCGAGAATGGCGGTTAGTCGTCGATTGCTTTTTCTTCTCCGCCACTTTAGATATGACCGACTGGCTGTGAGCGGATGGGGATCGTCGAGGAACGCGGACCGACGTCTCCAATAAGGTCGATCTGGACATCTACCGAGACCCAGAAGATGGACGCCGAGAAGTTTTTTGGGCCAATCGATTTTTAAAGGATTTTAAAATTTTCATAAACTGTATTTTTGATTTTTTGCAGATTTTTCAAAATATTATTATTCTCTCGTTTTTTTAGCAATTGATGAAACATGGGTTTTTCAAGCCGAAATTCAAAATCAAAGATTTTAAAGGACTGTTGAAGTGTGGAAAGGGGGATGCACACACTAATAGCACAATTTCAGGTGTCGCGGCGAGAGAAAGGGGACGAGAGAGACGGGAAGAGCGAGGGAGAAGGACAGACGACGCTCACCGTGGCCCCCAGCAGCTGAAGGGCTTGCTGATGTCGTTCTTCTACTGATTGGAGCGAGAGTGGCGGTTAGTCGTCGATTGCTTTTTCTTCTCCGCCACTTTAGATATGACCGGGTGGCGAACGACGAGGAACGCGGGCCGACGTCTTCAACGAGGTCGATCTGGACATCTACCGAGCCGAAGAAGATGGACACCGAGAAGGAATACGCCGGGAAGTTCAACTATTTTGGGCCAATCGATTTTTAATGGCTTCTAAAAATGTTTATAAACTGTATTTTTGGTATTTTTCAAAAATTGCAGATTTTCGGTTTTTTGACAATTTATGAAACATCGATTTTTGAAGCAAAAACTCAAAATTGACGATTTTAAAGGTCGGTTGAAGTGTGGAAAGGGGGAAACGGGCCCCACTAATTACACAATTTCAGGTGTCACGGCGAGAGAAAAGAGGCGAGAGAGGGACCACGAGAGAGAGCGCGCGAGAGAGGGACAGGCGACGACGACCGCGCACCGGCCGCGCCTGAACGTCTTGAAGACGTCGGCCATCTACAGCATGGCGCGGCATGCATGACGGTTTTTTAAATCAAAATTAAAACCTTTTTGAAAGGTTTGTTTTTCAATTTTTTGAATCATATTATTTTTCGGTTTTTAGCAATTGAGAAAACATGCTTTTTTAAGCAAAAATTGAAAATTAAGAATTTTAAAGGACAGTTGAAGTGAGGAAAGGGGAGCTGCAGACACTAATAGACCAATTTCAGAGACCGCGGCGAGAGAGCGAGCACGAGAGGGACAGCGATAGTGAGGGAGCAGCTGAGCCGGAGCCAATTAAAGGAGCATATAAGCAGGTGCGCTACCTGTTTTTAAAGGACCGTTGAAGGCTGTTAGCCCGTGGATTTTTGGATTTTTGCTCTGAATTAATGTATTATTTTCTCTTTTCAGGCCGACTACCGTACTCCTTCGGCCGGCTGAACGGCTCGAGCGGCTCGGAGGAGGAGCTGATCAACTACCGACGTCCGTCAAGAACCTAAAATGTTTGAATAGTTTTGAGTGCATTTATGTGTGATTAATTATTGTTAATGTCTATTTGAATAAAGATATATTGATATTTATTGGATTTGTGTCTTTTTATCCGCAACGTACCGAAAGAAATGCCTCGAAATGCGTGCTCAGAGAACGATCATTCTATTATTTAGCCATGAATGCATGGGCGATATGGGTTCTGCTAGCTGCCTTGGCGGCAGCGGGTCCAGATCACGCCAAGAATGAAGTGGAAGAGCTGTTCGCCAGGGCGAAACAACGAATAAATGACGTGGGCAGGAAAGATATTCAGGTACTGTAGACAATTTTAAAGGGATTGGCAAGGTTGAATTTCAGATGAAAAATGTGGGCACTACTTCTTCTCCGGTACCAGCACCAATTCCACTGCCTCCGAATGACATCACAGCGGAGGGTCAAGACGTGAAAGAGGTACTGTAGACAATTTTAAAGGGATTGGCAAGGTTGAATTTCAGATGAAAAATGTGGGCACTACTTCTTCTCCGGTACCAGCACCAATTCCACTGCCTCCGAATGACATCACAGCGGAGGGCCAAGTCGTGAAACGGGTACTGTAGACAATTTTAAAGGGATTGACAAGGTTGATTTTTAGCTTCAAAATCCATCCGCTACAGGGCCGAGTACAGTCGATTTGCCGGAACATTCCGCGTCACGCAGATTCTTTATGGTACTGTAGACAATTTAAAGGGGATGACAATTCTGCATTTTTAGATACCTACGAGCTACGGTACGACAAGTCCCGCGGTGAGCCATTCCACGCCCTATGCTAAGGCATTTGCACAGGTACTGCCAACCTTTTAAACGGGAATGAACGTGGATTAAGGAGCTGGGAGAGGATCCCTTGATCAGATGGCTAGTTCAATTCGCCCAGCACCTCTATGAAAACATCTGGTTGCCCGTGTCGGAAAACGATGTAAGTAGCCTTCGTTGTAAAGGTTGCCTAACGGGGGGAGCCAATAACGCGGGTGGAAACCCTTTTCCCCCTGTCGTGCCAATTCTAGCATACCATCGGACAGAGCGTCGAAACATATACTAGGATAATCCATTTCGGCCCGAAATAATGCAATTTAAATTCGTTATTAAAACAACAATGCTATGAGCTGTCCATGAGGTATAACCGAGTTACCTCCATAATGCCGATTTCCATAATGCCGACTATTATACAGGATGTCCCAAAAAAGCACCCCTCCGGCATCTCGCCGTGTTACATCCGATCGGTCCCAAATTTGGATCAGAGGTGTATCAGATCCTAAATAACTACAATCCTGAGTTATAGCCCGATCGCTACAGTATTTTTCGAGTTATCGCCAAAATACTGTTTTTCCCGCAATTCTAAACGGTTTTATCGGCTATCTTTTTGGACTTTGCATCGATTTGCATCGACTTCCGGCTGCGAATCCATAATTCCACTGAATATCGCGGGGGAATTTGGGTTACAAAAATTGTTATTGTTGTTAAATTGTTAAATCAACAGTTATTTGATTAATTTTTATCAGGAAAAAATTTATAGGGGTAAAGAAGGCTTGCCGCTTTATTTTCACTTAATATTCGAAGGGGCTATTCCGACGAAAACTTTATGAAAATCGGTTAAGAAAGTTTGTTTTTGTTGTATCTCGAAAAGTACTGTAGCGATCGGGCTATAAGTCAGGATTGTGGTTATTTAGGGTCTGATACACCTCTTGTCCAATTTAGGGGCCGATCGGATGTAATATGGCGAAATGCGGGAGGGGATGCTTTTTTATGGGACACCCTATAATGACGATTTTGCATAATGCCGATTCTTATAACGCCGATTCCCCTAATGCCGATTTTGCGTCTTTCCGCAGGGTGCTAAGCCATTTTTCTTTCGACGAACAATAGATTTTGGTAATATATTCCAGGTCTTTCTAATCAGTTACTAACGATGATTTGTTACACAAAAATCTTACAAAATTGTAATAAAAACAATTTCAGCTGACGGGTATCGGAGACTGAATTTTCCAAGATCGTTTCGATTTGTGCTTTAGGGCAATTCGGAAAATCGGGGTTTCACCATTTTCAAGGGTATTTTCGCTGCGTGAATATTGACAGCATCGGCTTTCGGGGAAAAATTGGAATATGAAACACTAGGATTCATCGGGAGGACCATAGCACCCTAAGAAAAGTCGCAAAATCGGCATTTTGGGAATCGACATCATAAGGACCGATATTATAATACGGGGCATATGGAAATCGACATTATGTAAAATCGGCATTGAAAATCGGCGTTATAATAGTCAGCATTATGAAAATCGGCATTATGAGTATATACCGTAGTATAAGGTGACCGTAATGATCGGTATTTTTGGCTGATTGAACGAGGTTTCATCAGTACCATCGGATAGAATATCAAAAATTGTTTAAGAGATTTAATGTCCGCACGAAACACCATAATTTAAAAATACACTTTATTAAGCTAAAATATTTAACCAATAAAAAAAATCGTCAAAAATGAGGTTTTTCGGACTGAAATTCAACCACTGTGTATAATTTTCGATGATCTATCTGTAGGCGTTTCGGCTTTCGAAATAGCAGGATCCTACTATCCTACTACAGGGTGTCCCAAAAAAACGAACCATCTGGCATTTCGCCTTGTTACATTGAATCGGTCAAAATTTTGGACCAGCGGTGTATCAGACCCTAAATAACAACAATCCTGACTTATAGCCCTGTAGCTACAGTCGTTCTTGAGTTATAACAAAAATACTGCTTTTCCCGGAAAAGCTGAACAGTTTTTTCGGCTATCTTTTTGGACTTTGCATCGATTTGCATCGACTTCCGGCTGCGAATCCCTAATTTCGCTTAAGAACTTTTCGCTATAACTTGCCCTTCGCTTCGCGACTTTTCAACCCTGGCCCCGTCTAACCCCATGATATCCATCGCTTTACATAATCCTTCCCCACTGTTATATCAAAAAATGAAAAGCGCGTCCTCTCCCTGATTATATAGACTACTCCCTCTTCCGGCGTATGCTAATTTTTTCCTAACAAAGAGGGTGTCCAATTTTTAAGGGAAAACTTAATTTTAATGTCGAAAACAATCGATTTTGCAAAATCTGATATGCGTGCAGTCATCTACAGGCCATTACGCGCCTAATGACGTATCATAAGCCCTTTTCATCCCTTCCCCTCTTGAGATATCCTCCGGACACGCTGACGGAAGTTGCATGCAAAGTGGCACACACACACACAGACACTATTTTTTTATATATAGTAGGATCTGTCTATCTAGTATCTATCGAAAACTACTGTAGCTACAGGTCTATAACTCAGGATTGTTGTTATTTAGGGTCTGATACACCTCTGGTCCAAATTTGGGGCCGATTGGATGTAACACGGCGAATTGCCAGACGGTTCGTTTTTTTTGGGAAACCCTGTATAAAAACAATAGTGTTTGTGTGCGTGTGCGTGTGCATTTGCATGCAACTTCCGTCAGGGTGTCCAAAGGGTATCTCGAGAGGAGATGGGTTTGAGGAGGTGCTTGATACGTCATTAGATGCGTAAGGGGCTGGAGATGACGGCACACATATCGGATTTTGTAAAAGATGTTGTTTTCGGCATTAAAATTAAGCTTTTCTTAAAAATTCCGACACTCACTTTGTTAGGATAAAATTAGCATACGCCGGAAGTTGCAGTAGCTGATATAAAGGGCCGATGGGAGCGTTTTTCATTTTTGTCTTCAACCCTGGTATTTTTTAAAAATGCAAAAATTTTGTTTCCACCCCCGTTATTTCTCGCCCCCCCCCCTAAGCGACCTTTACCGCCCTGGTTTCCTGGCGGAAAATCCGGAATTTTGTGGAGACGCATTATTTTGCTTTTTAGGTGGCAAAAGAGGTCTTAGCAGCGCTGATACAGAAGGCCGTGGAGGTCTGCTTGGGGCGACCGAAGCGGCAGTTACAAGACCACAGCACCGTTGGCATCTGGCGCGTAGCCTACACCGGCGCAGTAATTTTTGTGTACACTTGTGTGATCATCACTTTCTACGTGTTCTTAATCACTATCTTCGGAGCTGTCTTGAATATTATCGCTTTGTCCTTGTTTTTGCACGAGCACGTGTGGTGTCCCCTGCTCGCGGCATCACGCCGACCAGCAGCCATTGCCCGTGTGGGCGCATAAAGTGTCCCCCTAGATCTCTGCCGTTTTTGTAGTTTACACCCTTATTGTTGGATCTCTGCTGATTTCTAAGCCAAACATCTATCCCTCAATTCGCCGGAGTTTATGCAACAAGTGATTGTACTTTTGTTTTTGCGATTCTCTAGTCGCCAACACGTTCTTTCTCAATACAGGGTGGTGCATAAAAAAAGTGAAGCTTGCACTGAAATATCTCGCGAACGGAAACGAAGCGAACCATCGTTACCTTGTCAGAATGCTTAAATATGCTGGACATGAAGAAATAACACAAGTTGTTTTTTTAAGATTTTTGACGACCAGTGGGTCGTTAAAAATTTTTGAACATTTTTTAAAAAGTAGAAGACCTTGAAGCGATAAAGTATGGAACTTTTGATGAGTTAGGAGGACATGAAGGGTATCAAAATGAAGCTCTCGGAATGCGCTATCAGACTCGTGGTAGAGAATTATGATCGGTTTAACTGGCCGTCAATAGGAGCGTTCGGAAAATCCGTACTTTTTGGGGAAATAATTCCAGATAAAATTTCTTTACCATCCGATCTTTCTGATATTTGGCTGTTAGCAACAGATATATATCAGGTTGGAACGAAATTTCTGTCGCCGAGATTTTGGGAGGCTGGCTGAATTCGTAGATAGCTCCATTCTGCACATGCGATATGTCATTTTGTAGCTCTCGACCTAAATCGTTTCGGGAGGAGGGTCCTGAGCCCTCAAAATCAAGGAGAGCCGAGATACAGGCCGAAGAAGTTTTTCACAAAATTACCAAAAAGTGTTTTTGCAAGTTATCTCTGCATAGAGCAATTTGCATGCGATACGTTAAGCGCCAATCGATAGCTCTCGAGGAGTAGATATCAAGGTGCTTCCTGGTTATCGGGGGTCGGTTATTTTAGCGGGGGTCGGTTGGCATCTTCTTTTCGTTTAGCCTATACCTGCCTAGTGATAAATTGTAGTTTATTTTAATATTGTTTTTAGTAGCTTCCGATAATCAAAAATTATAAAAATATTTATCCTATAGTCACGAAATCTAGGGTTATAGCGCGGTTTTAGCCATTTTCATATACGTTAGACCGAAAAAGAAATTTTTTTCAACATGTTTTATGACGTTTTTCTTAATGTTTCCTCCCCCGCTAACAGTCCAGAACCATTTCAAACGGCGCGCAAGTCTATAAAAACGGCCAGTTTTTAATTAGCCGAGCTGCACGATATTATAGAAAAAAGTTCGCAACCGACCCCCGCTAAAATAACCGACCCCCGATAACCAGGAAGCACCGATATCAATAGATGTTGAGATCATCAAAATTGGATGGCCGAGATATGGGCCTCTGAATGCAGATCTCTCTATGTCTATATCTCTATGCAGAGATAACTTGCAAATGAAACTTTTAATGTCAAATGAAATAAAATTTAAT